GTAACGAAATAATTTGGATATATCAACAATGTTGAAATGGTAAATTGGCCACCGTAACGATTACAAAAGCTGACGTTTCGAGCGTTAGCCTTTCGTCAAACATTATTTCAACAGGATAAGAGGACTATCTTGAATTCATGTTCGAGATAGCTGCTGTCATTTTTGCAGCCAGTGCGACTTGATATAATGTGAAGATCTGGTGTTATCAACTAACTTAATGAATGTAAATTGCCCACAGAAAAGAATTTGTAAACTACGATGGCCAATTACCATTTATGAACACAGCTGATAAAACTAAAGTATCTTGTTATACTCCCCCACTGACGCAACACCGCAATTTCATTCCCCTTTATTGATATCATGTGATATTTTTTATACCCTTTCTAGGTTTTATCTACTTTGGCTTACGAGACTTCCGCCTAACCGTTCTATAAAATGTCAGTAACTTGATAAATGGGGAAGCTTTCAATTCAGAGCAAACATATTTGCTTTTTAAACTATGCTATGTAACGGACAAGCGGGTTAGTTATTGTGCAATCTTATTTTTAGAACCAGCGTATGATGCATATAGGTATTGGAACGAAAGGGTAGCAGAAGGCATTTCCCTAACTGCAAAAATTAAGCTATATTGAAAGGTACACATTTGCCTCGGGTATATTTGTAAATTGCGTATTGAGACATCGATCGTCGGTATATGAACAGTACCCTCCGGAAATCTATAAACTTTATGCAGTTTTGAGACAACCGTTGCCAAGGAAAATGTTTCGACTCGACGCACCTTGATAATAGATACTCAAGTAAACGAGTGTATACCAACGAGAAAGATTGACATCACTACTTGATTACTCAACCCCTCCCACAGTGGAACCTCGATTTAACGAAGTGCCAAGGGACTGGGGAAATTGGTTCGTTATATCGAGGGTTCGCTTTATCGTGTTTATGTGGCGCACAATTTACTGTAACTTTAGCCGGGCTGGAACTGAAGTATTGCTCGTTATACCGAGGACTTCGTTATATAGAGG